AATGTGTCTAATGGTAAAATCTGTGTCATATCTGACACCGAATGGCTTCTCTTCTCCATGAAGGAGGTATTTACGGGTCAGGGACCTGTGTCCGATGAGTAATCGAGTAAAAATGACTTCGTCTCTTCTTGAGAGGCCCGAAGGTTTTCGCGGATCCAGTTTGGGTATGATGCAGTGAAGTTTATTGTTTATTAAAATGTGCCTCCCACAGACTGGAGGTGTAGATTTTTATTTTATTTGTAAAGTCAGTCTGTGATAGAGTGTTCTTTGTCGATCCCAACAAAAGGGACAAGGATTCTTTCGCCAGGAGATCGGTCAGCTCGTTCCCCAGATGCTAAGGGACACAGAGAGGAAAGTTAAGGCTACGGGAGGTGATGGAACCCCGACTCAGGGAAGGACACCAGAGCCTTGAAGGTTAGAAAGGCGCTTCCAAAGGACCAGGCAATGAGGTTCAAGATGCTGCAAGACTTCAACATTTCGACAAAGAAAGAGGAACTGCAGACGGCTGTGCAAAGTCTTTTTCGTGGCTGCGACAGGAAGCTCTTAAGGTGAGAAGTGCGGCACGTGTGCATCATGGACCACCAGGCAAGGACAGCTGGACTGACACTTCTTCAGATGTCAGTACAACGCTTTTACAGCTTGAAGAAATCCAACTCCTTCAATTCAGACACCTGGAAACAGTCAAGCAGCAAGCACTGCATTGCGCCAACAGAGCAGGAGTTCTTCCAGGAACATGCATCCTCCTCCTAGACAAGAGGAAAATGACAACAGCTGGAGCAGCCGTGCTGTTACAAGAAGATAAGACCACCCTTCAGCATGTTAGTTGAGCAACATCCAGAGAACAAAATTTCAAAGAGCATGTTCTACAAGTCTTAGTGCAGACCAAAGAACTTTACACTGCCCCAGTCAGTCCAGCTGAGCCAGTGTCTATGCAAACCGTGTGTTAACATTGACCTGAAGTTGTCTGCCCTGAAGGTAGCCTTCCCCAGCATGCCCGGATTCAAGACGGCACAGATAGACCAGACGCACTGCAGCAGAAATGGACACTACCATGACCTGCAGTGCATCCGGATGGAATGCAGCCACTGTGGACATTAGAAAAAGCCCAGGCCTCTACTCAGTCATCTTGTGAAGACCACAGTGGAGTGCAAAGAGCGGGTGTACAACAAGAGGGATGATGGGGGAGAAGACGGTCACAAAGAAGGTCCTGGGGGTCAGGCAGTGGGCAGGAATGGAGTTGGTGGACTAGCTTATCAAGGACCTAAAGGCCTTCCCTCTCCACCTTCTGCATGCCAGGTAGCAGTACAGCCAATTCAACTTGAAAAAAAGCCTGAAGGAGGGGGAACAGATGATGGTCTATGACTTTGCTGAAAACTACCGGACCCAATTCCAGGATGAAGTCCAGTCTGCCCACAGGGAAACTCCAGCCAGGTGACCATCAACCCGGTACATGTAGTATGCTACCACAGGTGCAGAGACAGCGACAATTATGTAACTCACTCAGTTATCGCAGTAACAGACGACCTAAAGCTTCGTTGTGGACTCCATCCTAAGGAGAGTGGGGGAGTTCTTCACGGGCAGGGGATTTTAGCAGAAGAAGACAGTTGAGTGGTTGGATGGCAGCATAGCGCAATAAAAGAGCAAAGCGCCCTTCTACCTGACGGCATTCACCACCATTTCTTTGGCTCAAGACTTGGAAAGAACCCGCCGGATGGGGAATCCGCTGTCGTAAAGTCAGCAGTCACCAGGGCTGTAAAGTGTCGCCAGGTGGTGATCCAGACCGCAGAGCAGCTGTTTCACTTTGCAATCAGCAGTCTGGTGAAGAAAGACAGATTTGAAAAATGTCAACACTTCAAGCGCTATTTCATTTACGTGCCATCAACTGACATCGAGGAAATTGACCTTCCCTTGCTTAAAAAGCTCTGCCCAACACTCGGCTGGTGCACTCTCTCTTGAGTCTGGATGGGCAGAACCTCCACTACCGTAATCTGCCCAGCTTCTGTGAGGAATGCTGTCAGGAAGGAGCCTGCGTCAACAGATCCAGAAGTTATAGATAAGATGAGAAGGATGTATACATATAGTGTAAATAGGATTTTTCGTTACCTGTGAGACGTTTGAATAAATTTCATTGGGACGTAGAGACACTAATAAAACTGTTGTTCATGATTTGAGAAAGGAGCTGAGATGACGGACATGAGCAGTCTATACTTTCTTCAAGAGATGGATACATTATTTTTGTTATATGGAGCATTTTACAACTTAAACACAGTCGCGAATTGCCTATTTTACCGCGCCAGGTGGTCTTAAATTTTACTCTTGAGGTCTTGAAAAAGTCTTAGAATTTCAATTCACTTCCATTGTACTAACCCTGCAAGTGCACAACATGTACTAATAAGATCAAAGAGTGCAAGAGGATGACTGTAGCAGAGGTGCTGGCTTTGCTGATCACTGACCTCAAGTCATATCCAGAACACCACTTCAATGCAAAATGGCAATATCAGCAGTTCCAGAAAACCAAGGGAATGCTGAAAGAGGTGGAGCTCCTGGTGGTCTACGACTTTGCGGAGAATTACCACGCTCAGTATGAGGATGAAGTGCAGAGCACGCACTGGAACTATGCCCAGGCAACAGTTCACACTGTTGTGTACTACCATACCAGCAGGAAGCCAGACTGCAAGGAAATGGTGACTCAACCTGCAGTGAAGTTCTGATCACAGATGATCTTACACATGATTACCACGCAGTACACATCATGTTGAGACAGGTGTATGACATGCTCAAGCAGCAGATTGCAATCTCAAGAACGTTCAAATGGTCCGACGGATGCAAAGCACAGTACAACAGCAGGTACCCCTTTTACTTCCTGCAGCAAAGTGGCTGTGAAGAGAGCTTCAAAATCCTTAGAAACTACTTTGGATCCAGGTACTGGAAGAAGTCCTCGGACGGAGAATTAGCAATCCTGAAACCTGCCGCAACACGTGCAGTAAAGTGCTGACGGGCTGCCATTTCTAGTGCACATAACCTCTACATGTTTGCGCTGTCAAATCTGGAAAGGGGAGCTCCAGATGAAAAGTGTGCCAACTTCCGACGCTCCTTCGTCCTGTACATCCCAGCTGCAGACATAAGGAGGAACAAGCTACCCCCTGTAAAACCTTTGGAGGTCCATTGTGCTTTGGTGTAATTGAGTAAACACAAGCAAAGATAAAAAACAAAATTCTGGGTATTTTTCATTGATTTTGGCTATATTGTTTGGTTTTGTTTGTCACTGTAACATTCCTCATGGTTCTGGGCCTCTCTCTTTAATCTTTAAGTCTACGGTATGGGATTACCAAAGAGCTCTACAACTTCCAGTCTAGATTCTTAAAATGTTAGTCTACAGAAAAACCATGTTTTATCAATTTGAAATGAAAGATTAAATTTTGACTCTAATGTATAAAAGGTAAACAGTACTGGTGGACTGACCCATATATAATGTGAGGAAGCATGGTGAAATCAGGCGCTTGTCAAACTAATGAAACTGAAGAAACTGGCATTTTTTGGCAGGTTTGGGAAATTTTAATCGAATTTCTTTTTTTTTTTTT